AAACTTGAAATTGCATCATATGACCCCTTTAAAACCCATTACAAACAAGGCATTTGTTGCATCCAGTGGGGACATAATTACGGATTATAATGACTTGTACTGTCTTTTTACGCATTGCATTGCATCGCGCCACGTAAACATAAAACCATGTCTGCATTTGTGATCGGAGAAATGACAAACAAGCGCTACTCTACACTGCTCAAAACTTGCGTTTGAATCGTCAGTGGCAAATTCTTTAAATGAAAACGTACTTACAGACTGTGAGTCAGAACAACCGGCATTGTAGTCTACTCTCCCAGGATCAGGAAACAGTCCTCCATAAAATGTGCTGCACACATCTGAATATTTGGGTTGAACTGTTCTGGAACAGTGTTGTAAATATAACTTAACCACTGATTTCTAGTCGTGTCCTCTTTTGGAAGGCCAAACAAAGTAGTTTCGCTTTCACAACAAAACAGTGTCACACACCATGGCCTTGAGTGAGCGGAGGCTCACTCAAGGAGTCTTTGCAACTTTACAGATCTTCTTTATGCACCAAGAGCTTGTAACACTCCAAAGAGAAAGGAAAAATTTGAATCGCATCATATGACCCCTTTAAGAAAATTTAACAGAAATATTATTAATGTAATGATAGTTCTACTACTTCTACTAATAAAATTATTAAACAAATTTTTTTTTAAAGGAATACTTACCAAAACATTATTTACCAGAATTTATTTAGCAGAAAAATTTAAATACACAACAGTATGTTTGGACAAAAATAAACAAATAAAATAATAATAAATTACTGGTTAATAAAATAAATTAATTAGAGATGATTTTGATTATTAATATTTAATTAAACCATTACAATGAAATCCAGAAAAATGAATGGAAAACAGCATTTGGTAAAAATAAAACTGAATTTGAGAAAACATTTCATAGGGCCTTAAAATTGTCCTTTTTGTTAAACTTTTAATAAATTGCTGTTTAATATTGTATGTTTCATGGTTTAAATTAATGACACATTATTTTTGATTTAATTAATAGAATCCTGAAAAATTAAAATGGAAAACACTGAATTTGGGGAAAAATAAAACGGTTTTATAGGGCCCCAAGTAATCTATTTTTATATATTGTCCAGAAATATATGTCATGTATTTCCCCCCATATTTCCCTATTCAGTTGGACAGGAGCTGCACTTGCATGACTGAAAATACTGTAGCTACCTGAGATTGTTCCCAAGATTTACAGTACTGGCCTTGAAAGGGACTTTGGTGGTGGATGCATTGCCAAGGTGTTCTGAGCTCACAGATGCTAGCCTTACCAACTACTATAAAATGCGTTCTCAATCTTAAAGTAATCGCAGGAAGCGTTCATGGATCTCTGGGGAGCAAAATGTGTCATTGAGTTCTTTCTGCATCAATATCTCTGAACTAATTCACTGGCCACTCGACCTAAACCACTGGGGGAAGTGCTTTAGACCTGACAGGAAATTAAAACGGCATATCATCACATCATTTGCCACTCAGAGGGGCGTAAATGCTGATGAGTCCTAATTATGTAACCGTTTTTGCCCATTATAGGAATGGGCACGGAAACGATCTAAAAAATACATCTCAGCAGCCTCTTTTCACATTTAAATGATCAAAATCCCTCTGAGGCAAGTTCACTCGGCCAGCCATCTTGACACAGCGATTTTCTATCTAGTCTATATCATACTTCAAATCATCGATAAAAATGGTATAATAAATGTAGCTTCTTTAACTGAAATTATGGCTAAAACCTTTGACAGCAATAAAGCAGTGTCTTTATTAAGGCTCTTTTAAATGAAAGGTGGGACTTTCATTCTGTCTCTGGTACTTAACCGTTTTAAATATCTAGTTGCCATAGAAACACTCATATGAGAAACCATTCAAAAGACTAAAAATGAAACTTTCCACAAATGTCAGTCGCTTTACTTAAAAGTTCCATTTTAAAAAGTTTGCACAGCATTGTTAAAGGCTATTCTTCTTTCAGTCATGTCTTCTCTCCTCAGGAAGTTTCTTTATGTCAGACACAAGAGTCAGGTTGAGTTTACAGTAGCTCATGAATATTAATGAAGGCGTCTGACATTCTGATTGGCTTAAAGGTTTGTGACTGTTCAGTCCATTGGTGAATCAACAGAATGGCTTCTGGTTGGTCATTGTTTTATGCATCTACCTACATCTGACTGCTTCAACGCCAGTTTACTAATAGAAGTCGTGTTTGGTTTCTAATTCATTCTAAATGATCAAACACTAAGATTTAGTGTTAAATTATTTCACTACTTTTCAACAGTTCATGCAAATGCACTTTTTTTTTTTTTTACTGAAAATAAGGTAGGATCCAGAGTTTGTCCTCAGGCGTACAGCTGGAAGGTTTATGCAAGTAAATATTAAGAGACGTATAACGGTGGTGCTTTCAGTATGGACGACGTCAAGCTGTTGTGGCATGCTGTGACGTGATGCATCATCAGGCTCTTGTGTAGACACGGTGTTATGCAGAACGTAATACAAATTTGATTAAATCAGTCAGTTATAATTTATCTGGAAACTGAAACTGAATATTTAAAGAATAGACACGAATGATAATTATTTCATTTATCACATCAAACGGAAGCCTAACATCAAAACAACATCTAGATCTGAATAAAAGAGCGAGAGGCAAATTTCAGCACACTTTGTTCTCATGGTAACTGTTTCACTAGCAACTTTACTAAAGCAGATGCTGTTTGATTTGCAGTATTTTATACTTTTTTCCCCTTTGCTGACTTATTGAAGAGGCAACAGTACAGTCCACAGCAAACATCCATAATAAAATCCAATAAGACACATATTAAACTCATTTCTGGGAACATTCTGGGTTCAATAAAAGTGTAGCTCTGTCAACAACATTTGTGCAACAAAATATCAGATCACCACAGAAAATGATTTTAACTCATCCTCAGTTTTTACATGAAGTACACACAGGAAGTACACAGGTCTAGACAGTGCACATTAAAATACACACTGAATGTACACCACTGTACTGTACTTTACTGAATAATTTGAGTAAATGCTGTAACAAAAGTACACAGTTTTCCATGCAAATTCGCCAAATAATTTTCTGTGGCAATCAACACTGTGCCATAAATGCCGTTTTCAATATATAGTTCACCCAAAAATGAAACCTGGTGAAACCTCAGGCCATCCAGGGTGTAGATGAGTTTGTTGGAACAGATTTGGAGGAATTTAGCATTAACATCACTTGCTCACCAATGAATCCTCTGCTGTGCATGGGTGCCGTCAGAATGAGAGTCCAAACAGCTGATAAAAACATCACAGTAATCCACAAGTAATCCACACAAACACAGTCCATCAATTAACACCTTTTTAAGTGAAAAGTTGCATATCCAAACAAATCCATCAAGACGTTTTAACTGTAAACCATAAATTCTGACGAAAATACATAATTCATAATAATATTTCCTCCAGTGAAAAAGTTGTCCTCTCACATCAGAATCCACTGACATATTTGTTTAATTCTATTTTGGACTGCTCTTGCTTGATGGTGATTGATCGGTGCACATTTCTCTCTTGATTCATACAAGACTTTTTTATCACTATATAAAAAAAGCAATATTATTTTCAGATAATAAATTAATGTCATTTGTGGAGTTAACTCAGAAGTACTAGTTGTTCAAACACGATTTTTTTCGATTCCTCCAATTGAGACATTATATTACTAATAACACAACACTTGTTAGAAATTGTGAGGTTATTATTTTTACCATCGGGGAAAAATGTCTTTGGGTAGATTTTATGGTGCTGTGTGTTCAATTTCCTCTGCTGATACACAGGCAATTAAAACTAAATGTAAGGAAGAGTTAGCTACTGATATTGATGAAGAAACATGGGATGACATTTGGTCTTATGCTAAAAGAATATCTGTTCGTGCACGTACAAGAGAAATACGATTTAAAATCATACATAGACTCCATATTTTTCCTAACCGCAGGCATTTTTTTAACCCCTCTCTATCACCTTTGTGTTTAAAATGTAAAACTGAAGTAGGTACTTTAACACATTGTCTGTGGTCATGTAACAGACTGCAAAGGCATTGGTTTTTGGTGCTGGGGGAAATGGAAAAGATCTTTAATATGCAGTTGGATTTTGACCCAGTCTCACTGGTATTGGGTATACCTAATAAATGCATTGTTTCATCTGCTAACAAGAAATTGTTCAATATTCTCTCCTTTGCTGCCAGAAAAAATATTTTACTTAATTGGATTAGTGATAAATCTCCATCACTTAAAGGTTGGCATAAGATAATTTTTGAACTGATTCCCCTGGAGCATCTTACCTATGTATTACATCAAAAAACAGGCCTGTTTTATAAAGTCTGGACTCAATATCTGGACTATATGGAACCTCACCGCCCCATTGTACTACAAGGAATATTGTATTTTTGGTTTGTTTCTTTTGGGCGATGTCTTGTTATTTTTGTATTAAGCCTCGTACACACCGGGACGATTATCGCGAGTGCTTATCGCCAACGTTTTTCGACACGTCTTTTGTGTTCATACCCAACCGATTTTCGCAGGCGATGAGCCGAGTGAACGTGGAAGTTCACTCCCTGACATTAGATGGCGCTTAATGAAAAACAGAAATACCCCGGTACACATCAAATCCTATTTGATCTGCAATTACTCTCCATAACAACTCCCTCTTATCGAGATTTTTGTAGTTGCCGTCGTGTTTGTCATAAAGCCCTTTGTGTTCAGACACCAATGAGACCAGCAGCTCTACATTCATCTTGCCTCGATTCATCTTCTTGGTCTACTTACTTCCCATTTGTCGTTAGGTATCAATGTGTGCTCAGCGAGACCGTTTTGTGCTTGAGCACCACCAAGCCGTATTTTACTTTAAGTTCAGCAGCTCCAGGCACGTGAACAAAAGCACCAATCTCATTGGTCGGCCAGTTTTTAACGCGGCGCGTCAAACCAAAAAAATGAGCCAGAGGCGTTTTTAAAAAAAATTACGCTTTTACGCCTCGCGTTTTGCGTTAAAAGTCTGCGATATTCGTCCTGGTGTGAACAAGCCTTTACAGTGAAAATTAAATAAAAATGATTATAAATATTATAATTAGAGGACTCAATAGAAACAACTGAAGTTAAAAACATCTTACTGATAGATTTGTTTCTTACAAACATGCAGCTTTTCACTTCACAAGATGTTAATTGATGGACTGGAGTTGTGTAGATTACTTGTGGATTATTGTGATGTTTTGATCAGCTGTTTGGACTCTCGTTCAGACGGCACCCATTCACTGCAGAGGATCCATTAGTGATCAAGTGATATAATGATACATTTCTCCAAATCTGTTCATCTACATCTTTCACAGCCTAGGGGTGAGTAAATTTTCATGTTTTTGCAAACCATTCCTTTTTCTCAACACCAGAACATTCCTTTAAACGTGACGAAACACCAAAACAGTGGTGAGAAAATGCAACGTAACCTCGGTAAGCATACGCCGTGTTGTGATGTGTCGTCTACGTGCACTCCAACCACTGTCTGCTTGTGTAAGGGTGAGAGTATGCCACAGTGATGTAATGAAGGCAGTAAAACACAGAGAAAGAGATGTGGTGGTGGGAGGATATGAGTGGGAGGTGGTGACAGGGGCATCATTATCCTAAACAAACCAGTGAGCGTGGGAGTGTATGCGAGAGGGGGAGGAATAGTGTGTGTGTGCGCACTCCCTCATGCCTCACTTTCAGATGAGAATGAGCGCTCTCCACTGCAAGCGCGTTGTGCATCCAAGGACACCATATACGAAGGCACGATATTTGCCCAGACTATGAGTGCGTGACTATATTTATGCAAGTGTGTGTGTGTATGTGAGAGAATGTGTGGCGTTTAATGCGAGAAATATCAGAAAAACAGCAAGGAATGAAGTGAGAGAGAGAAAAGCAGGAGCGCATGTAGGCGGAAACCATTTACAGTCTGTCTCAAAGCAAACCCCCATGGCTCTCTCACCGAGAAATACAGACACACAGGACTGCAAATTGCCCACAAGAATTTAGTGTTCCACCTCACGGTGCAGGACATCTCCTATCCAAAACAGAGATGAAGCCGTTTGTCACTAAATTACACGTCTTGCATTTCAGCTCAGCGTTTGGCAGGGTAAAGGAACCCCGTCATTATCCAGGGGGTCGGCGGTCACAGCGGTGCTGTAGTGCATCTGCACTCCTAATGGCCAGTTTATCATTTCATAAAGTATGACGTGACACTCTGATATAGGTGTTTGAGTTGGGCCTGTTCTCACAAGCAGGTGGAGTCCTGTTGTTGACACGGGAGAGGATATAACCTTGGGCGATTCCTCTGGGAGAGACTCGACGGGAAAACTCAAATGAGGTTTAGGTGTGGGCCATGAGGCAAAAAAAGATTAGTTCCCACTCTTATTTCTGATTGGATGAGCTGCGTTTGAAGCCGCCAGCAATGCTGATAAATGCACACCTGTGACATTTGACCAGCAGAGAAACTAAATGTCACAGATTGACCTCTTGGCTCAACATAAAGAATATAAACATCAATGGTTTGCATTAGGGACGTCAAAAGTAGTAGTGTTTTGTTACTAATTTGATGCTAAATAAAAAAAATAATGAAAAAGTATACAAAAAGGAATGATACCAGTGTTCCTGCAGTTTTGGTAATAAAATGTATCATCTCAATGATGACTTATTGTTTGTGGCTGGATAATTTTAGTTAATATTAACAAACTTGTGCACAAAGTTAGGCTTAAAGGGGGGGGGGGGCTGTACTAAACTGAGCTGTACTAATTTACAGCTCAGTTTAATTAAAGACCTGCTTCTCAGTCAATCTCTGACACCATCAATACCGTATTATTAGTTTTGTATCTAATAACCATGCTGAAGACTAAGCCAATTAATTATTTTTATATTACATGTATTTACTTAAATTTTTTTCTGTTTCTCAGTGGTTTACTTGAATACTTGATACTACCATTTACTGCACTTGAATAATTACTTGATAACTTGAGACTTAAAAGACATATCTGAGGGCTAATTTAAGGCCATTATTTTAATTAAACATGTTCATGTTTAAATTAGTGTTACATTTTTAAATTGAACCTTTTTATCAATTAATTTAAACAATTAAATTCTTTAAAATGTAGCTTTTTTTTTTCAATAGAATATATATAAATATAAATATATATATATATATATATATTCTGTTGAAAAGAAATGCTACATTTTAAAGAATTTAATTGTTTAAATTAATTGATTTTGAATTGATAAATTTTTTTTGCTGTGGTATAATACATTTGGTGTAGATAATTGTGAATTTTGACTAGTACTCAGCCCTATTTTGAACTTTTCGAGCTAGTGTTATTTTAGTATTTATATGCTATTATTAGCATTTTTCCCCAGTTTATTTTACTTTAAGTTTTAGTAATTTTTTTGCGTTTTTTGTATTTTTTAATATAAATAATATTAGTTCTTTAACTTACTTATATTTCAGTTAGTTGCCAAAGCAACATTTCTCATATTTAAATTCTTTAAGTTTTTAATCTTACATTTATATTTTATTTTAATACTGCTTTATTTCAATCAACAAAAACTATTCTTAATTTTAGTTTTGGTTAAAGGGATAGTTCACCCAAAAATAAAAGTTATGATTTACCCCATGATTTACTCGCCCTCAAGGCAGGTGTATATGACTTTCTTCTTTCAGACAAATACAATCAGAGTTATATTTAAAAACGTCCTGGCTCTTCCAAGCTTTATAATGGCAGTGAACGGGTGTTATTTTTCAATAGTCCAAAAGAAGTCCAATAAAGAGCATCCATCCATAATAAAAAGTGCCTCACACGGCTTTGGGGGTTATATAAAGGCCTCCTGTAGCGAATCGATGCATTTTTGTAAGAACAATATCCATATTTAAAGGTTTAGTTCACCCAGAAATGAAACTCCGCGTAATCAGCGTTGTTTACGTTCAGGATAAAGCGTGTACATGCTGAACGTAAACAACGCTGATTACGTTCTGAGGTACTCTCCAAAATGGTGGAAGACGGTAACTCGTGGACAAGAATTACTGAATGAATTATGTTATTATTGTTTTCTTTGTGCACAAAGTATTCTCGTAGCTTCGTAAAATTACGACTGAACCACTGATGTCACATGGACTATTTTACCGATGGCCCTGCTTTGTTTCTGGACCTGGGAACATTGCAGTTGCATTGCTGGAGGGTGAGAGAGCCCTCAGATTTCATCAAAAATATCTTAATTTGTGTTCCGAAGATGAACAAAGGTCTTCCGGGTTTGGAGCGACGTGAGGGTGAGTAATTAATAACAGAATTGTCATTTTTGAAATGGTAATCTCTCGCTTTTGCTAACTGTCCTCAAGTGTTCACAATAGAATGCCGTTCCAGTGGATGACTCTAGAGCATGACATCACATCCTGTTGCCCATATTTGTTGCAGGGTCAGCTGCTACTCTAATCACACACCTGAAACGGCTAATCAAGGTTTTTGGGTTCACTAGAAAATTATAGTCAGGTGTGTTAGCAGACGGAGAGCAGCCAATTCAGATCTTCAGGATTGAGCACTCCTGCTCTAATGCATAATGCATGCGCTTTTGTTCTTGAGTAATGAATGCATGCATGCACACACTCACATCACTTAATCAAAGCAGAATGACTCATTGTGACACTGCTGACGAACAATGGCACAGGTTCTCGCAAAGCACACCTGCCCATTATCTACATGTAACTGCATTTGAAAATGACAGTGCAAAACAGCCATCAGTCAAACCCACATTTTTAGTTTTGTAACACACACACACACACAACATATTAACTTATCTTGCATTTAAACAATGAATGTTTGGATTTAAGTTAAAAGGATAGTTCACCCAAAAATGAAAATTGTGTCATAATTTCCTCGCCCTCAAGTTATTACAAACCTGTATAAATTCCTGTCAGCTGCTGAACACAAAAGATGATATTGTGAAGAATGTTGGTTACCAAACAGTTGACGGTAGCCATTGACTTCCATAGTTTGGAACATACTATGCAAATCAATGGCTACCATTAACTGTTTGGTTACCAGCATTCTTCACAATATCTTCTTTTGGGTTCAGCAGAAGAAAGAAACTCATACAGGCTTGGAACAACATGAGGGTGAGTAAATGATACAGCCTTTTTGAATTTACAATGGCAGCTGCAGTTTCAGCCAAAGCTTCTACAATCAAACTGTGCTAACTTGATTCCATCCGCTGTTGTCAAGTAAAAATAAGTAAATAAATGAAAATCTCAAGTGTCTACTGTCCCATATTAATTGATTATTATTTTACAGGAACAGTAGTAATTATTTGTGGTATCTTGGCAGTAACTATGGTTACCATGGAAACTTTTTTTTAGCAAGGGTTGGTATTAATCACCACCAGTGTCATCAAATATGAAATTTAAACTAAAAGATAGAAGGGATAAATTTAATATTGTGGGAAAAATACTATTCTTTTTACACAAATCTTGTATATAATATGTGGTTTGGTTACCAGCATTCTTCACAATATCTTCTTTTGGGTTCAGCAGAAGAAAGAAACTCATACAGGCTTGGAACAACATGAGGGTGAGTAAATGATACAGCCTTTTTGAATTTACAATGGCAGCTGCAGTTTCAGCCAAAGCTTCTACAATCAAACTGTGCTAACTTGATTCCAAGTAAAAATAAGTAAATAAATGAAAATCTCAAGTGTCTACTGTCCCATATTAATTGATTATTATTTTACAGGAACAGTAGTAATTATTTGTGGTATCTTGGCAGTAACTATGGTTACCATGGAAACTTTTTTTAGCAAGGGTTGGTATTAATCACCACCAGTGTCATCAAATATGAAATTTAAACTAAAAGATAGAAGGGATAAATTTAATATTGTGGGAAAAATACTATTCTTTTTACACAAATCTTGTATATAATATGTTATTTTGCTGAAAATCTATGGTTACCATAGCGCATTTTTGTATGGGAGTGTCTTTCACACATCACAGATGATTTGTTGTGTGTATATGAAGTGTAACTCGAGAGGGCCGCATTGTGTTGTATGTCCAGGGGGTCTGTAACTGAGGCTGAGACTCTCTCTGTGATTCACTCTCAGTCTGAGTGAGAGAGTGGGATTCAAGTGCTAATACCTTTTGCAAGTTCAAATGAGAGGTGAACCGCACTGTTGATTGCGTTATACATGAGGGGGAGTTTACTCCGCCTCGGTCCAGGAAACTCCCCGTGGAAATGAAATAACGAAGATGTGCCTTTCATGTCCTGAGCAACAGCTCTAGCGTATGTGACACTCCTGACCCAGTGCGATTGATATGAGCCAATTAAATTCACCGCATACTGCATTCCCATTTCAAACAGAATTTATACCACAAAAAGGACAGCTTATGCAGACATTTTGTAAAGTGGCATAATTAAAGGCATAGTTCACCCAAACATGAAAATTCGGTTTCATTTAATCACCCTGATTTGGTTTCAAACAAGACTTTTGATCATCTTCTAAACACAAATGAAAATATTTTTTAATGAAACGAGAGATTTCTATCCTTTCAAACAGCGTGATTCATATGGATTTCTTTTTACAATTTTTATGAAGTTTTTGAAGTTTTGGTGTAATGGGATTTCAACTGAGGGACAGAAGTCTCAGTTTTCATTAAAAATGTCTTAATTTGTGTTTCAAAGATGAATGAAAGTCTTATAGGTTTAGAATGACATGATGAAATCATGACAGACGTTATAACGGAGTAAGTTAAATTTCAGATGCAATACTGTGTTTGTTTTTGCACAGCCAATGAAAACTGTTCTAAACAAAGTCAAAGTGTAATCATATACAGCTTCTTTGTTTAACACGGTAGTGGTGTTTTGTTCCTGAATGACTCAGTGTGTTTAAACAAATCAACTGACTGTATAATTCAATGACTCACTCATAAATAGTCACCTGTTTAGATTCTGAATGAATCAGTATGTTTGAATGAATTGGTTGAGCGAATGATTCAATGTCTCATTCATAGAAACTGTGGTTGCATAATATGATGTAAATCAGTGTGAAAAGAGTATGTATTTGGCAGTATTCCGAAAATAGTAGGCAAAAAGTACCCGGATAACATTCTAGATTTGACGATATTCTGATGTGTACTTCCGATGAACACTTTACTAGCCCAATTGGTTGAGTGAATAATACAATGACTCATTCATGAAGACACTCGCTGCATCTAAACAGGTCTACTTCCCTAATATATAGCATGCAACAGTATTACAAATGAGTAGTATGTCCGAATACATTAGAAAAACAGGAGTATCCAGAAAAGTAGGCAGAGGACCAAATACTTCTGTTGAGATCTTGAGGTGTGCATTCAATGGACACTTTACCATCCCATGAGGCCATGTCAGGTAATAAATGCAAATGATACATGCATGCTAACATGGTGGATGTAATACGTCTGGACATCCTTCATACTACAAACATTCATACTATATAGAACATTCTTACAATGGTCACCAAGTTTGTTCCTTATGAAATATAGTACCTAATGAAATATAATGACTCCTATATCAATACTCAATGACTACTAATATACCGTCTGTATTAGTAGACTGACAGTCTGCCTGAAAATCCTCAAATATCTCAAACAAAAGTCAACTAGAGTCTAAATTCACTTGGGGAGTCTAAATTCACTCCTGATAGTGAGGTAGAAGATGATTCAGGCCATACCCAAAATGACTTGAAAATTCAATAAACGATGGATATCGTATCATGAATATAAAGTAGATTTTTCTGCCGTATCTTTAGCCAATCCCCATAAGCAACAAGCATCATGAGGGTCACGCATACACCCACTCTCACATCCTTGGCAGAACAAAGAACCGACCAACAATTCTGACAGCCTCCCGTAGCAGAAAGTAAAATGCTATTTCAAGATGTTATAGCCCTCGAACTAGATCTGCTTTTTAAACGGATCATAAATGATGCATCTGTGAGTTTCCCTGCAGCACGGCAGATGAATTCCCATCCACTGCTGTCAGCCCTTTGACTTCATTTTCCACGCAAACTGGAGAAACTGAGCAAGTAAAACAAGGAATAATTCAAGCCAGTACATAAACTACGTCTGAAATGCTTACGATTTAAAAAGGTTCAATATAAAAAACTTTTCAGCTACAAATTCTGACAGTCGGGCCTAATGAAAGCAACATCGGCACTTTGCGGAGCATGTGGTTACATTAGTACGTGTTTTGTGGTGTCATGTCGGATCAAGCCACACAGTTTGCCTGCTCCCTTGAAGCTAAAACAGCACGGCGAGACTCACCCAAGTCTCTGGATCCTTGGCTTTCACTGGCCAGCTCTCCCATTCTCACCAGAGCATCAAAATAGCCTTTCGCTGCAAATGTCACACCTGCAAAAAGATAGAGGCAAGTGGAAAAATATGTCACAAACATTCTCATCTCTCATTACAGCAGTATATTCGATGATCAAAGGGCCCATGACGAGGATGGGACGGCTCTCAGCTGCGCAAGTTGGTGTCAGTCCAGCTGGGTAATGAGTGGCAAAAAAAGCTATAGGAGTGGATGTGTCGGTCGCACAACAGGAAACACAATCAGTTGTACAGGAAACACATTTAGAATGAGTAAAGATAGCCCTCCTGTGACTATGGAAATTTGGCCCTTTTTTCTTTACCGGACCAGCCCTGCAGTCTCTCTCACACACACACCGTTTCCCAATCCCATGCCTCATTATGGTTTTAAAATGTCAACTTCGGAGAAAAAGAATAAACAGAATATCATTATCTCATCACAGAAGTGATCTAGCCTTCTCCCATTCTCACCAGAGCATCAAAATAGCCTTTCGCTGCAAATGTCACACCTGCAAAAAGATAGAGGCAAGTGGAAAAATATGTCACAAACATTCTCATCTCTCATTACAGCAGTATATTCGATGATCAAAGGGCCCATGACGAGGATGGGACGGCTCTCAGCTGCGCAAGTTGGTGTCAGTCCAGCTGGGTAATGAGTGGCAAAAAAAGCTATAGGAGTGGATGTGTCGGTCGCACAACAGGAAACACAATCAGTTGTACAGGAAACACGTTTAGAATGAGTAAAGATAGTCCTGTGACTATGGAAATTTGGCCCTTTTTTCTTTACCGGACCAGCCCTGCAGTCTCTCTCACACACACACCGTTTCCCAATCCCATGCCTCATTATGGTTTTAAAATGTCAACTTCGGAGAAAAAGAATAAACAGAATATCATTATCTCATCACAGAAGTGATCTAGCCTTGGCTGTTTTGGTGTTGGTCTAACTGGTGGGATAGTAATGCTAGGCTATTCACTAGTAAAGCCCGACTGTTACAATGACCTTTTCTGAGACTTCATGAACTACAGTTGTGCTTCTTGTGGCTCAAGCAGGTATCAAGCAGTCTCATTAAGACACCAGAGACATTACACTCAGGCTGATGTAACAGACAAAAGATATTTACTGTATATGCGGTGCTCTGCAAATGTTTGGAAACGCTCTAGGCCAGGGTTCCTCAAATCTTACCCTGGAGGTCCAATGCGCTGCAGAGTTTAGCTCCAACCCTGATCAAACTCAGCTACCTGTGATTTTCTAATGATCCTGAAGACATTGATTAGCATGCTCAGGTGTGTTTGATTAGGGTTAGAGCTAAACTCTGCAGGAAAGTGGATCTCGTGGGCCAGATTTGAGGATTCTTGCTCTAGGCAATGTGGGGTTTTGGACAATATGAACATAAATCCTTATTTTGTGATGAATCTGCATTTATAAGGGACAACACAAAATATGAAAATGTCTGAAGTAATAAACATAGAAAATCATAGACAAAATATCTCTAAACGGTGTTCTGATTGCTCTGTTGCCGTCAAACAATTCATAAAGCTATAAAGCAATAATCTTCAAACCTGAGACAAGTTTAATCTAGCAACCAATCAACCAACCAACCTACCTACCTACATATCTATCTCTGCTTTTTTTGAAGAACATAGTTTGAAGAACAGCATTTATTTGAAATTAAAATTTTCGAACACTATAAATGCCCTTTTTAATCAATTTGCTTCTATGCTCAAAGGTTTTCATTTTTTAAAAAGAAAAATAACATTAATGCATTCTATATGTTTGACATAAAAATAAAATGGAATAGCTGTACAGCACACCAAAAATAGAAATAGGGCATCTGTTTACTGAAGTAAGTAAATGAAACAGGTGCTTGCAAAGTAGACCGCTAAGTTAATCATAATGAAGCAATTCAGTTGTAGCCATGTGTCCGGTTTAGAAAGTGTATCAACATTGCTCCCTATTCTGTATATAGTGCATCCAAGGGAATCGGATTAGCAACTCAGTGAAAGTGTGAGAGATCTGGAACAGCCAAACAGCATATGTTGGTGATTTCCATAGGACTGGCAGCACTCATTGTTAACTAGAGCAGTAAAGAGGGAAAGGTGGCCCACTCATACAGGGCTCACCTGTATCTCCTGCCTCACAGTTGTTTACTGCAATCAGCTGCTCAGACTCACTTTATGACGGTCACTCTTGACCTGTGAATACAGTACTAAGGAGTTACAAAGCCAATGCCAGAAACTATAACTGCAAATTAAGATCTAGCAGCCAAGACACTGGTCTTCCCCAAAAACCTCCAAGAGCAGCTCAGGTACTGTTATGCAACAATGCTTCCTCTAAGCGTGTCCCACACTACACCACAGTTGAAACAATTCCTCTTTCACCTCCCTCAGAATGAGAACGTAGAAAACAGGCATGGAGAAAACGGATTATCAGTCAGCTATTCTTTATGGAACTCATTCAGAAATCAATTGGGCCCTTCATCTGAATCTACTGAGAGCCTGTGGAAAACCACCCTGCGCTTCTGGCATGGGCAGAAAGGCCACAAAAAATTGGTTGAGCAAACAATTCATCAAGCTGACCAGCTGTGGCTCGGATTAAGTAAGCCAAAGCAGTACTGTTGCACTAGGTGAGCCACTATGTGGATAGTGTTCAGGGCTTATTTACAATGAAATTATGCAAAAATGTGCCTGACAGATGGGACCATCAACTCTGGGAACTCACACAGAGACCGAGAAAGAGAAGGCCCACTGTATATATATTTTTTTCACAGTTTATTTTCTTTGCTTCTTTCTTCCTATATTATTCTAGGTTGGATAGGCCAGTACAGGAACTCATATGTTGGCTGATATACTGATTTGACAGGAATCAAGAAGAGGCCAACACTGTAAAAAAAAATAAATAAAAAAAATCCAACTTTTATTTTGTCAGACAAATTCTATTTTAAAGGTTGATGGAACTATAAAATGTAGCAAAGGTTAACGTGACAAAAGTTGACTATGCAATTTAGTATTTAAATTAAAATATTAAAATTGAAATAAAAATAAAATAAAGAACTTACAACTAACAAATTAATTGTTACTGAGAAGTAATATATGTTTTAGCTATATTCAGTGTTTTTGATTATATTCTGTTGTAAAAGTTGTTTCAAGTCACCACTACAATGATTAGTGTTATCTTCAGTTTTAAAAGTTTATAAAACTTGTTTATGTGTTTATAACACTTTCGGTTTACTCAACAAACTGATACACAAGTTAGACTAAGGAAGTTCTACATTAATTGTTAATGCTCAGCTTCACTTAAAATGCAAGCTTAATTAAGTTGAATAAACAAATAAAAAACACTGTTAATTTGAGTTTGTAGAACTTATGTTTAATAAAATCCAGACCAACTGAATTTGATTCAACACTTTATTCCATAGCTCCATAATTGTAATAATTCCTGAAGATACATTATTAAAATTAATAATAATAAATAAATACCATGACTGTATGATTTATAAATTCAGTTCGGGTAACGGTTCTTGAACATGTACATTCATCTGTCAATGTGGAACAGCGTTTACCAAAATACTGAATCAACAGAGCCACAGCAAATTGTTGCAAACCAAACTGAATGTGATGAGAGAAAAATACTGAAAGTCACAAAATAACACAAAGACAACAAATAGACAACTTGAACAATCCAATTAGTTCATTGTCCTCAGTAGTTAGTACAACAAACAAAGCATGACCAGTGTAATTCTAATTCTCAAACGATTAATTTCTGAATGAATTCCATTAAGCTGACAGAAAATAGCTCATGGTTATCCAATTTCTCTGTCTACTCTCAATACTTTCTCTCACATGTGGTTCTTAAAATTGCTTTTTTCTTTTGCACTTGTTGGTGAACCAGTGGCTTAGTGGGGAGCACTTTGTTTCCTGAGACCCAAGGTAGGCTCCAGTATCCTTCTGACCCTACGAGAGCGGTTTGGAGCAGAATGAATGTATAGATAGTTTGGAAATGTTTCCTCAAAACTGGTGAATGGATTGTTAAGTGGAACTGGAATCTCCACAATTCTCATCCATATATTTAGGTCTCCCGCTTTGAAATTCTCTCTTTTACTGAGAAAGACCATGTCATAACACACTCCTCCTACTGCACTCATTCATCTTGCCGTGCCTGAGGCTCTAAAGCAAATCAGCAAGAACAATACTAGTCAGAAATAATAAATGGGGGTAGAAAGCTTTGCTGACTTTGTGTCTGAGTGATTTAATTTCCTAAAGCACAGAGTAGGGTGGTAAAGACATGGCCTGAGAGCAAAAGAGGATTACGATTTATTCTGGTGGGCTTAGTGGCCTAGGACCTCCCACCAGACCCCAGTTTCCCTCAGTACGGGGTAGTCAATTATGGAATAAATCTCTTTTTCAACTCTGTGTATTGCCTTTATGTACTTTCAGCCATGTTTCTATGGTAAAAAACATGCCATTCTCGATGCCACTGCTGCGTAATTTGCGCTACTACTCTACCCAACTGGCTACCTGTGGACAGCTGTCTGGCAGCATATGGACCCTGTGTGCAATCAGCCCCTTTTTGAGGATAAGAGTCTTTCCAATCTGCCTTTAATGCTCAAGAGTTTGAAGGGCAGGCTGTCTCACAGATTTTACATAATTCCCCAAGAGGGTTGGGCACTGGGATTTATGGGTAGCCCCTGTTTCCTTTGTGACTCTCTAAAGGAATATTGTGGATTCAATAAGGGTAAGCTCAGTTGACGGTATTTGCACATTATAAAAAATAAAGACTGTAAAAATGCAACAGTAAAACCCCGTTAATTGGTTAACCAAGTTATCTTGCCATACACAGTGAACATTTTTAAGTGGTCGCATTATATGTAATTTTACTGTAAGATACTGCCAAATTTATGCTTTTTGGAAGTAAACTTTAAAAATTACCACATAATTTACAGTGAAGTAAGTAGACATTCCCAGAAGTTCTGTGTGACACATCACATATGATTATATCTTTCACAAATCTTTTTTTTCTTTTCAGACTTTTGTCAAAATTAAAGTATTTTTTGTTACATTTTATATTATTTTCTTTTAGAATAAAGTAATATCGAAAACATTGTCACTGTATTTTTTATAATTAAATTTGCTGTAAAAATGTACTATGACAGTTTCAGGTATTTTGGGTTCCCTGTATATTTTATAACAACAATAAAAGATGAGCCAAAACAGATTTTTACATTTAAGTTTTATACAATTTTTACAGTGTATAGGATAATGTTGATTATCACTAAAACTTGTCCCTTGTTTTTATCTAAAATAAAAAATTTGGTAAATAAATAAAAGTGCATTATTTGAGCTGCAAAATGGTTTAAATAATTTTTACCATCATTTAATGTTTATGACATTGCATTATTATGGCAACAATGTTGCAAAATTCAAACTAAAAGCAGGTTAATATACATATCATTTATATCTTGTGACTATACTTTTTTGTTTAAAAAAACTAAAACAAACCAAAAATACCAAAAAAAAGACAAACACACAATAAAATTACTAAACTAGAAAAAAATTTAAAGTATAACATTAAAACCAATTCAAAATATCAGTATGAATAAACTATAACAGTATCTCAGTGATACTAAAATAACACTGATTTTAACATAGATTGTCCCCCTTCACTTCCATTGTAAGCACCTCACTGTAACCCAGATTTTTAAAGAAAAATACGGAGAAGCCAAAAAATTTTTTTTTCAAAATCGATGCTGTCGATTGAGCTAGGACTAAACCTGGGATATTCCTTTAAGATGTATTCCTGCACATCACCCTAAAGGTTTTATGGCCACTGTCGGCCCGAGGCTGCCAGAGCAAGATTACATTTGCCAATGTGAATCAGACATCAATGGGCAATTGTCTGGCTTTCATCAGTCACCTACCGCACAAAGCCTTCAAAGTCGTCTGATTGTTCCTTTGTGTAATGGCTAAATATCAAATCATCAGTGAGGCTGGGCACATTATCTCCTCTGTGAATGCCCTCATCAGCGGAGCGCTTGTGTTCGGCCCATCTGAGCTCAGGAGGTGTCTCAGGCTGTGTGAGAGTTGATAAGGCTGTGTGGCCATCTGAATGACAGGATGACAAATATTGTCATCATCTTCAAATGAACTGGCATTAAAGGCGGATGGGAAGGAGTGGAGGGTTTGGACAGCTGCCCGAGCGCGGATGAAACGGCGGATGTCTGGAGATGTGATGTGAGGGTACTTACTGGAGAGAGCCTTCTCGTAGTTCTTTCCCATGGCGATGAAATTCCGCAAACAGGGATTGAACTGTTCCATGATGGTCTGCAAGAGAGGGAAAGATTTGTTTATATATATAAGGCAGAATTGCAACATGTTAAGTGTGCATGAGTTATTGGCAGGCCTATATAAAATCCTCACACTAAAGGATGCACCAACTTTAAAAGGCTAACCATTACGGAGAAACCGATAATTGTCATTATGGCCAATAAGCTATTAAAATTCCATACTATTTTGTCTAAATAAAAGTAAAATAAAACACAAAAAAAATACATCATTTTGAAATGCTACAAGGTAATTTAAAATGTCAAAAGATCAAGGAAACTTACATTTCTCAGAAATGTTGTGATGTGTTTGGAAATATTAAGATGTTTTTATTTAAGTCTCTTATGTGCTCACCAAGGCTGCACTGATGTGTTTCAAAAATACAGTAAAAACACTAATATTGTAAAATATTATAACAATTTAAAATAACTCTTTTCTACATTTTAAAATGTAACTGATTCCTGTGATGCAAAGTTGATTTTTAGCAGCCATTATTCCGGTCTTCAGTGTCACATGATCCTTCATACACATATATATATATATATATATATATACACACTATATATGTAAGGAATAACTGATGACGGGCCGTTGAATTATTAGAAAAATAAGGCACACCCGAGGTGGATTCAATTATTCCGCTTATACTACGGTTACCACACCTCAAGACATCGATCAGATGATATATTTAAAGGGATTTGTCCAGTTTTTGTACTTAAATCACTATTGTGAGTAGGATTATTTCTTTCGCATCTCATCCAACACCTCTTTTGCTAGTTCCAAAACTTAATTTTAAAACTGGTAATGGAGGTTTGAGCCGTTGATAGCATTCTAATGCATTTATTAATGAAGTTATTAGAAAGAGAGCAAGAGAGACAGAGACACACAGAGAAAGAAAGAAAGAAAGAAAGAGAGAGAGAGAGAGAGAGAGAGAGAGAGAGCTTGTGTGAATTAGGCTACCTCAGTGAGAAATGTCATGTGTAGCCTTTAAGTTGCTACACTATATAGGCTAACTGATAAAATCATCAGGGCAGCGCTGACAACACCTTTTTGTGCAAACTGCGTGACCGTAGTGTGCGTGTGCGAGCACGTGTGATTGCAGTAATTCTTGTGTGCTGTATAGGTACTGTATGCTAATTTCCGTTATTACAGTTAACTGTGCGAAGTGATATGGAACTGTAATGCGGTCAAGAGAGCTGCCTGGAACTACGTTTGCTGTGCGTTTCCCTGAAAATAATTGCACACCTCAGAACGTTCGTCGGCCAATCAGATTCAAGCATTCAATGGCCCCATAGTATAAAAATAAAAAAAAAATAAAAATAATAATATATGTGTGTGTGTGTGTGTGTGTGTGTGTATAAATATAATATACAATAATACATATATTAAATATAATTATAAAAGTGTCACTGTAAACATACCAACTATTTCAAAAAGAGCACAGAGCGTAACTAAGAAATTGAAACAAGGACAGATATTCAAAAACAAAACATTTAAATAGCCATTCAAATAATAATAATTATTGGGCAAATATGTATACACATAAATACATAAGTAAATTCATTAATCAGCCTCTCCCATCCATAGCTTGTTTACTAAAGAAGCTAATTTAATAATGCTGTCAGCTACAAATTAGATTATAGTATTATTTAGTTTGTTTACCAAAAAATAAATCAATAAATAAAACAATAAAAAAAAATTACAAACAACGTCAGCAGATACAACCTGGGGCTGGTTAAAGGCAACTGATAGCATTTATTGCCTGCTAAAAAAAACTAGATTATGCACATATTTCCATGAAGGCTTAGCCTGGTTAGTGCCTTCTAGTTAAGCTAGTTGACCAAGGAGCTCCAGCACAAAACATATAAAACATAACATATGAAGCAGCAGGGGCTGTGTATCTGTACACCCAAACATACCAGAGATGCTTCCATTTCCCCTAATGCAAAAACTGTCCACAGCATCATCCCTCGTTCACACCACTCATCATTTCATGTTGTGTTAAACAGAGTGCGATTATTCTTGTGGGAGGGAAGCAGACACTCATTCTGGGGGTGAGCAAAGAGCTTTGACATTTTGTTTAGGGCTTTGAGGCTGTGTTTTAGAGGATGCGAGGAAGTAAAAGAGATAGAAAGTGAGCATATGTTAGGAGGAGTTAATGAACATATTTTGCTCTGAAGTGCTAGTTCGTGGGCTTGTTAAACTGCCAGGATGTGTATACAGTGCGTTTTAAGGAAGGGCCGGGATGTCTGGTGTTTCTGAGAGGGCACATATGCAGGGAGGGCAAATTGTCTCGAAGCTCCGTTCCTAGTGCAACCAAAATAAACACTTTACCGCCTTGCCATGCTGTAATCTTTCAGTGATGCTCACTCGAGCGGGCATCTGTCATAGCACCCTGAGCACCATCCAGTTCCCCTTCAGGGCTTCCTCCAATTAGAGCAGCCACAGTCTGCCAGGGCCTTAGGGTTAACAAAGGCCTGAAGCTGACAGCACAACACCACCGAACCCTGCTTTCTTCCTCCAAAATTCACCATGAATAACTACCTCCCATACAGCAGCCTTTTACACCTCATAGGAACCTTTCGACCATCCCTCCATAAACAACTCAAAAACAGTCCAAGTCAAGCTGGTTTTTCACAGTAAACATCACTACTGGTCAATCTCTAACCCTCAATCTCAATCCCTTTATTGACACATATTACTATGTCATAGAATTACTTGATACCATAAACCCTGTTGTCATGTAGCGTGTCAGTTTGCTTGTAGCATTAGCATCTAGCTAAATCCACAACATTAAAATCCAGCACCAATTCACTTTTACACTCATGCATTTAAAAATGGCTACGGCAGCTTCGCCTGCTCACTCTTCGCTATTTTCTTCAACGAAAACAAGTCAACAGACACCCCCACCTTTTCTATAGTGCAAAGCCTTATGGGTAATATGAGGCCAAAAAGACTGGCTGCATTTAAAAATGCATATTCTCTGAGTAGGCATTTCTTTTCTAGGCAAGTACTTTGTGAAAAAAACATTCTATATAGTATGAATGTGTGTAATATGAATGTAATTCAGATGTAGGCTACTACATTTGTCTTGTCATTGTCATGTGATGTCAGTTGCATCGTTCAAAGTGTTTATCGTATGCGCACTGTAAGTGTACTGTACATGTACTGATTTTCCCTCTTATAATATAGTAGGGAAGTATGTGATTTCGGAAGCAACCAAAGTACCCTTCAAGGATAGTCAGTCTATTACTTGCAATGCCTCCTGGCAGCTATTTTTGAGCATGCAAGACTCCTATCTGTTTGAATGAGAAATACCAAAATCTCAAAATGCTGCGTGCCAAACTCACATTTCAAAGCATATTTCATGTCAGTAACAATTTTATGTCTCAATGTGTTTTCTGTTATACTCAAATAGCATTAAAGCAATTTATATTTCAATTTACATTAGAGTTGGTCAAGCCAATACGGTGTAATCAATACCATATATAGTACTAATCAAAAGACTTGATAACTGGAAAACTAGAGCATCTAACAGTATCTGCAGTGATGCAATGACTTCACTAACTGCCAAATGGCTCTTTTATTCAGAAGGTACTGAAGGCACTTTTATCCAGTGTGTACTACCAATTCCAATACAAGTTGCACCCTGAACAACCAAGTTCAATTCTCAGCTTGTGGTCCTTTTCGATCCTGTCCCACTCTCTCGCTTCCATTTCACTGCCTGTCTATTCTAACTACGCTCTTCTATTTAAATAAAGGCAACAGCAAATCCTTATATACTACTTCAAGTTCACAAATTTGCAACTTAATGGATCCATAAAAGTAGATGACATAGTAAGTGGCTAAGCATTAGGTGATTTAAGTGTAAGGAACAAAGTGGCACTCCAGTAAGTTACAAAATAAGCAGTAGCTATCTTTTTCCCAATTTAAAAAAGACCTCCGGAACAGCTGGTGCTACCCAGGATTGAGCATTTTTAAGAGTTTTAGGCAGGGTAGATGCGGTTCAATCAGTCAAGATGCATAGTGGAGCCAAATACAGGCTGGAACATGTCAACAGACGGAGAAATACCAGGTCAAAACGCTCTCAGTTTCTTGGACTGGAAGGCATTTTTGGGCAGACTTTATGTAGCAGATTTGGGTCAGGTATTAATAGCCACCAAACTACTTAAGGACTAGTTTGAAAAATGTTTCACTCAATATTTCATCAATCCTTCAAAAACGTCAATGTTTTCCACAATAAAAAAAAGTCTGAGAGCAAAACGAGCACTGTTAGTAAGGGGATCTTCTAGTAGAGCGACAAGACCGGTTCCCTAGGCTTCATTTCAAACTACTTAAGGACTAGTTTGAAAAATGTTTCACTCAATATTTCATCAATCCTTCAAAAACGTCAATGTTTTCCACAATAAAAAAAAAGTCTGAGAGCAAAACGAGCACTGTTAGTAAGGGGATCTTCTAGTAGAGCGACAAGACCGGTTCCCTAGGCTTCATTGGCTTGACGTCACAGGTCACCTTCCCGCTCCTGCCGCACTCTCTGGGCAGCTCTAAAAGTGGGTCTGCACCTGACGGAGAGTAAGATGGAGAGTAGGCAGCAGTGCCTCAACAAAATCAGTCACCCCAGGAGCTCCATTAGATGGAAGGAAAAAAAGAGACGCACAGCAAGTGAAGGAAAAAAAAAATACATATTCATTGATCAAAATATTAGCAAGGGCTTCAAGTGTCTCAATGCCAGCCTGCAGACTTTGGCACAACAGCAAGGCAAGGTATGAACGGTTCAGGAACGAGATGATATGTGGAGAGCACACATTGACACTGAGGAGTACAGCTCTCTTCTCTGAAGGATGAAAGACTTCTCTCCATTTCAAGGGATTTTTCAGAAAATCTCTCTTTACCTACCCTCTGACTTCCCTATTCCCCTTATATACTCCTTTATAATGGCCTGTCAGCATATCTCATTAAAAAGACCCCATCAACAACATCCTCATAACATGTGAGG